ATAAAATAAAATAAATTCCATACAGTGTAACGTAATGCATGAAACCACTCCCTTGTGGTCTAATAATGAATCTATTCTGTGTTTTCACTACAAGTAATGCTGCAACAAACATCTTTGTACATATATCCTTGTGTGCTTGTTTGAGTGTTCCTATAGCATTCTCCTGGAAGTGGAATTGTTGAGTCAATTAAAAATGTTGAACTATGCAAAAAAAAAAAAAAAATCCAACTAGCATACATAATTCCTTCTAGTATAAATTCTTATTCAATAAGCATAAGTATCTTCTATAAATACTTTCTATAATGCAAAAAAGTCCATTTTAATCTGTTAAGAGTTATAAATTTATCTGATATTTTATTCATCAGACATATTCTTACCAATCACTAAATAAAAACACAAAGTCCTGCATTGGAGATTTAGCACAGTGGTTCCGCCACCTGCCTCACAAGTGCAAGGACCCGAGTTTGAGCCCCGATACCAAAAAAAAAAAAAAAATTAAACACACATTCCTAAAAACAGTCTCTTAAATGAACACACTATTTTCCAAAATAAGGACTACTAAAAATTAAACCGTACATATTTACCTCATTATTGGTGTAATGCAGATCCATAGACTGTCCAAAGGCAATTTTAGCTTTAGACCTCAGGTCTTCCAGTTTAACTGGTCTGGGGAACTGGAGGATTCTATATAAACACAATTTTTAAATATTTTATTAGCCATAAACAGTATACTTACAACAGTTACCTCTTGTTAGATAGAAAATTAAGTAAAAATTGTGTATTCACTTTACCTAATCAAATTTCCAACATGAAGTTTAGAAACTCTGAAGTATGTTCTATCTTGATAAAAATTTTACAAAGGACAAAACTTCTGCAGTTTTTAATTTGCACTGAAATTCATATAGATGTTAAAGACTATTGTAAAATGTCCACTGAAGAAAATGATTAAGCTTAAGCATGTGACATAGGTACAATAGAATGGAGTGAAACTGTTACAAAGAATAAAGTTTTTCTTTGGGTAGTCATACTTTGATTTCTACACTTGATCTTAGCCAAAAGGCCAAGAAGCAATCATACTTTGATTTCTGTATCCTTACCAACTTAACATTATTGAGCGCATATATCACATAAGCATATTTCCAAAATAAATATTTTAAAGGAATTAAAATATTAAATTGCAATACCATTATACTAATTTCTTCCTCTATCCCAAAGGATTGTGCTGCATGGCTTCAGACAGCATACCCTAAAGCTTAGAGATTACATTAGACTACAAGCTCCACAAGGGGAGAGGGCAGGTCTGCTTTGCTCACTTTATGCCTTCGGAGTATAGCATATAGTGAGTTCTTAAAAAAATGGGCTGAATGAATGAAAACAATTGGAGACATATCACTAAGAGTCTCAAGTCAGAACACAGACTGGATAATAGTTCTATTGTACGTCTAGTATACTGCGTTTTTTCAGCATGTCTGTGTAAAGTTTAAATCTTTAAGTTATATATTTACAAGCCATTTTAAAGTCCTTAAAGCTAACAGTTTGTATTAAATTAGTATGAGACACTAATAGCAGAAATGAAATTCTACCTTCTCTAACTCCTATGAATCTTGTTAGCAATTTTACTGTCAACTACTACCACCACTTCTATCCTGAGATATAGACACCAAGTAGGACAGGTTTTACATCTCTGGTAATTTGCAGCCACTATTCCAACTTACCTTCCAAAACATTTTTAACAAGAATACATGAGAATAATCAAAATTTTAAACATTATATCCACATATAAATTCCATATAGTATTTGGAGGTATGATACAGTTATAAGACTACATTTAATTTCCAGTGAGTAAAAATTTCTTAAAATGTTAATATTTAAAGGTTGCATTATGCAATCACCTTACTTCCTAATATTTCAAAGCAAAAATATTAATCATTTCTAATGTTTAGCATGAATTTTGACAAATTTTATCTTACAGTTTAAGCACATGTTACACTGCCATTCTCAATTTGTAAGCCATGAAGCTTCATTCAAATCTGGAAAGAACTTTGAATTAGAATTCTTTTAATTAAAAGATTTTATTAAATAAATTAATTGGCATGTAATGTTTCCTTCCTTACCTTTTTTCTCCTCTATGTTCAAATTTGACTCGGACATCATTCTGTAATGAAATGATAAATTTCTAAATCAGTTTTTTTCTAAGCCTCTCAGTTAATACAGAGCAGACAAGACATTTCATTTTCAATACAAACTTCAATCAATTGATAGTGTCTGCCAAAAAGGTGAGTTGAGAATTATGTTGCTGAATCTGGGCTCAGCAGAAAAGAGCACTAAGATCTCGTAGTGAAGGCACCAGGGGTATGGGACATTTGTTAACCCTGTTAAAGCAAAATATAGGCTACTACACCATGGTCTAACCTCCCTACAGGGTAAATGTTCCAACACCACAGTTTCTCTTTGGCATATCCAAATTGCAAGCATCACTACTATCATACTTTGGGGCTATTATTAAATAAAGTATTTGAGTACAAGCACTTCAATATTTCAACAACTGATCTCATAATTGAGACAGCTACTAAGGTGACCAATAGGGTGGGTAGCATATACAGAGTGGTATGATGGATAAGGGGACTACTCATATCCTAAGCAGGACAGTGTACAATAGTAGGAAATTTCATACGCTACTCAGAAAAAAAGAAAACATATATATTCCCCCCCAAAACAGATTTCCCTAAGTAGTTCAGGCTAGTAGTTCAGGGAGGCTTTGAACTCACAATCCCCCTGCCTCAGGCTCCTGACTGCTAGGATTACAGGCATGAACTACCGTGCTCAACTAAGGCACACAATTTAAACTTTAGGTTTATTTCTGAAACTTTCCATCTGATATTTTCAGACCTTAGTTGACCATAGGTAACTGAAAGTATGGAAAGTGAAACCATGGATGAGGGAGGACTACTATAATTCTACTTTTCATGTTGGATATTCAAGACTAATTTGATTATAGGAATCAAAATCACCCTCATTTGTAAATATCTATAGTAGACTATTTGGGAGAAAATCATTTATCTTAAGTGCATGAAGAATGGATGAAATATTAGTATTAGCAGTTACATTAAATGAAATTTCTTTTTAGAAATGCACACTTATAAGAAAAGAGTTCCATAGAACATCTGATTCAAAAGTGTAAAAGCTAAAAGTATTAAACAAATCTTCTATAAATCTAGATATTAAAAGAAAACATCATAGGACAAAATATATTAAAATATTATTGAAACAAATACCTGTTTTTTTGGTGATGAAGATTTTGCTTTTCTTGTTTCCTGTAAGGATAATGCAGGTCTACTGGCCTTATGAAGGACAGCCAAATCTTGCATGATTGAGTTCAAAGCCTGCTGATCATCTAGATATTTTTAAAATAGAATTTTAATTTCAACATATTTATCACAGACACCAAACAAAATCTGTAAAGGAAATGAATGTAAATGTATTAATTTAATGCAGAAATGCATACAAAACATTTTTAATGCCTATACTTTTAGAGAAATGATATTTAAATTATTTTAAAATGAGGGGAAGGACTAAGGATTTGGCTCAGTGGCTCCGCGCCTGTCTCACAAGCTCAAAGTCCTGAATTTGATCCCTGGTACAGAGAAGATAGATAGATAGATAGATAGATAGATAGATAGATAGATAGATAGATAGATAGATAGATAGATGGATGGATGGATGGATGGATGGATGGATGGACGGACGGACGGACGGACGGAAGGAAGGAAGGAAGGAAGGAAGGAAGGAAAAAAGCTCTGAAGATTAAAAAAAAAGGGCAATCTAATTGAGTCCCTTCTTTTCTGGCTTGGAGAGTCACATGGTAGATAAGTAAGTAAGGAGATGTGAGCTAACAAATCCACAAAAGATCAAGCATAGTGTGAACAGTGTCAAACTAGAATAGGCATTTTTCTAACAACTCTTAAGACTTTCACTCTACTAAATTCCCTGTAGTGGTCACAAATTACTAGACAGAGTACACAGTTATAAATATCATGAAGATCATGCATTAACCCAACACACACGGAGAATGCCCATCGGATTCCAGACTCTGATCAATGGGCACACAAAAACAGCAGTAGGTTTCTGACATATATTGGAAAGACATACAATTTAACATAAAACTAGAAAACATCCTGGAGATAATTTCAAATTAAATACTTCATTAAAAATGTTATTTTTAAAAAATCTTTTTTTGGAGACAGGGTCTTGCTATGTAGTCCTGGATGGCCCGGAACTCACTATGCAGCACAGGCTGGCTTCAAACTTGCAATGATCCTCCTGCCTCAGCCTCCCAAGGGCTGGGATTTATAAGTGTGTGCCACCATGCCCAGCTTAAAAATACTGAATTAGATACTTTACGTGCTTTTTCATTATACTTGAGAAATAATATGAGAACATTCTCAATAAAAATTCGAATATCTGTGATTCTCACTTTTAAATAGTGTCATGGTTTTCTATGACTACTTTTGCATGTATTTTTAAGCAATGGCTATTCTTTGCTTACTACAATGTAATATTACTTGAGAAGGATAATAGAAATCTATTTGATTAATATACAGCTTAGAATTCAAGTAAGGGCAACAAAAATAAGACGCAGGTGTTCAGTGAAAGTACACACAATTTCAACTAGAGGTGAGGCTGATGAGAGTGGAAAATCTGGACAACAAGAGGTCACTGCATTCATGGATACAAAGGAGAAAGTAAAAGGAATTTCAAATCTAGGAGGGTGAAGCATTGGCTTAAGTACTTGTTATAAGTACTGTACTTACATTGAAAGTATAAAGCTGTTCCAACTAAAGAACATGGGTAAATTTAAGAATTTAAGCCTATGAGATCAGGTGTGTGCGTGTGTACATAATGCAGTGTTCTATGCAAGCAGTAGAAAAAGTGTGAAAAGGATAAACTTTGGCTTAAGTTAACTTAGCATGCAATTTAGTCCATTTTTCCAATTTAGGATAGGGCAGGGATTGCTCCATTTCTTTGTAATGTCTCTCTGTCTAATCCCTTCCTCACAATGGAACCCTCAACACCAAGGAGGGGGGCAAAAGGATATATAAAGTGAATATTCAGAGCCCATTCCTACACGTCAGTCTCCCTTTAAATTAAAATTATAATACCAAAGGATATTAACAAGGCTTGTAAAATATTATCCCTGAGCATCAATGATTTGCTACTCTACTCTGTTATAAAATTTTATTTTTCTCTTTGCCATCAGGCTCTAATACATCTTAATGGTTTATTTTGAATGTTCCTAATTGTGTCCTAACAATTACTACTAAGTTATTTAGCTGAAAATCAGTAAATATAAACATTATATAAATCTACTGTATCATAAAATTTCTGTATAAAAAGGCTTATCACAACAAATAGCAGAGAAAATTTCTTCTCCCTCATTATTTTAATTATAACTAAAATACTATTTTAGTTTGAACTTACCCATCATGGCAACCAACTTGACAATTTGCAATTAAAAAAATGGTTCTCCTGTCAGCATTCTTTATTGCCTTAGGAGGTAAAAAGACAAACATATAAATAAGAGACAGAAGAGACGGCCATAAAGACAAAAAAAACTTCCATAATAACAGTAATGAGAGATATACAGTACAGGTATTTTACATGCTTTGGGGGAAAAGAGATGCTTTATACAAGGGAGCTGACCATGTAGGCACCATTACCTAACATACCAATTCCCAGACTCCCAGAAGAAGAGTAGATGTTCTGCACACCCCACAGCACTTATACTCACAAGGTAGGCAAATGAGCCACATCAGTTATCAGAAAGGCTGGAAAACGTCCTAAAACACAATTTGTCAGGTACCTGTCAAAGGCTCTTTACAAGGTTAAAAACACAATTGCTTAGAAGAGTAGTCCTTTCTAAGGATAAACATGATATCTTAATTCGTGTGTATAAGCAGCAACAGGAAATGAATACAATGGTTTAAAGAAAATTATATAAAGTGATAATCATAACTGTGTGGCTGGGCATACAATATGTGATGACATAATTTCCATTAACAATAAGAACACAAAAAAAAGAGGAAAAAGAGTTATATAAATGTCTGTGTTCTAGTACAATTAAGTTGGTATTAACTCACACTATACTGTTTATAAATTAAGATGTTAACTGTAACTCCTAGGTCAACCACTAAAAAGTAAATTTAAAAGAAACAACAGGGCCAGAGATCTAGCTCAGTGGTTCCGGCACCTGCCTTGCAGTCCCAAGGTCCCAAGTTTGATCCCCGGTACCAAAAAAAAGAAAGAAACAGCAAAAAATACTGGAGAATTTAGAATATTGGAGAAATAGCACACTAGAAAATATCTATTTAGTATAAAAGGCAGTAATGGAGAAACTAAGAAACAAAAAGACATTATTGCACAGAGAACACAAAGAGAAAATGGCAAATCTAATCCTACCTTTACATTTTTGCAGTAAATATAAATGGAATGAGACAACCAATTAAAGGTGAAGACTAACAATAAATTAAAGAACTTATTTTAACTATATGTTAATAACAAACACTTCAGATTCAAAGAGAGAATAAGTTGCAAGTGAAAAGATGGAAAAGATAAACTAGAAGCCAAGAGAGGCCTTAAGTGGCTATACTAATATCAGGCAGAATAGATTATGAGTATTATTATGGAAAATGGCCACTTTATAATAAAATAGCCTATTCATCAACAAGATGTAACAATTATACATTTATATGCACCTAATAAGCCCCAAAACATGTGATACAAAAAGTGACAAAGAAGAAATAGGCAATTCAAATATAAGACCTGAAAACAGTTAAGACAAAATGAGGAAACAGATGTGGACGGCACTAAAAAAAACCTACTAGATGTAACAGACATCTGTGTAACATTCAACCCCCAATATCAGAACACACATTCTTCCCAAATGCATACAGAACATTTTTTAAGACAAACCATATGCTAGGCAATAAAACAAATCTCAATAAACAGACTGCAATCACCCAAAGTGGGTTCTCTGACAAAAGTGCAGTGAAATTAAAAATTGGTAACAGAAGGATATTTGGGGAATTCACAAATATGTAAAAATTAAGCTACATACTTCAAAAGAACCAACAGGTCAAAAAGAAGTAATGGAGGAGGTTTGAAAATACTCTGAGATACATGTAAATGAAAAGTACAACAAACCCAAAACTAAATGGATACCTCTAAACCAGAGATGAATTTATAACTGTAAATGTCTATTTAAAAATCTCAAATAATTAACTGTCCGTCCACCTTAGAAGAGTAGAAAAATATTGGTGGGGGGGGGGTTCTTGAGCTAGGGTCTCACTTTGTAGTGAAGGCTGCCCCTGAACTCACTATATAGCCCAGGCTGACCTCAAACACATGGCGATCCTCATGCCTCAGCCTCCCAAGTGCTGGGATTACAGGCATATGCCACACACCCAACTTAAAGAAAAATAATTTAAATCCAAAGCAAATTAATGAAAGGAAACAACAGAGTTAAGTGCAAACATGTAGAAAACAGAAATAGCACAGAAATAAAACCAAAATAAGAAACAAAAAGTGGTCTTTGAAAAAATAAACTTTTAGCTACACTAACCAAGAAAAGAGAAGACAAAACAATTGCACTCAGAAATTAAAGAGGAAGCCTTAGCATCAACCTTACAGAAATAAAAAGGATTTCCTACATTGAAAACTACAATACTCTGAAAACAGAGATTGAAGAAGATATCGGAAAATGGAAAGATACCCCTTGTTCTTGGATAGGAGGAACCAATATAGTGAAAATGGCTATATTTCCAAAATTGTTATACAGATTTAATGCAATCCCAATCAAAATTCCAACAGTATATGTCACAGAATTAAAAAATCCTAAAATTCATTTGGAACCAAAAGAGACCTAGAATAGCAAAGGCAATTCTGGGCAACAAAGGCAAGGTGGGGGCATCACAATCCCTGACTTTAAATTATACTACAAAGCTACTGTGATAAAACAGCATGGTACTGACAAAAGAACAGACCTGGGGATCAATGGAACAGACTAGAAAATGCAGAAACAACTCCAGACATACTCAGCCACCTTATCTTTGACAAAGGAGCCAAACACCTTCACTGGAAGAAAGATAGCCTCTTTAATAAATGGTGCTGGAGGGCCGGGGATTTAGCTCAGTGGTTTTGCCACCTGCTGCACAAGCTCAAGGACCCGAGTTCAATCCCCAGTACCAAAAATAAATAAATAAATGGTGCTAGAAAAACTGGCTTACCACTTGCCAAAGATTAAAACTAGACCCATATCTTTCACCATGTACTAACCTAAAATTGAAATGGACCAAAGATCCAAATATTAAAACGGAAACACTAAATCTGCTGGGAGAGGGAATAGGTAGAACACTTGAGGACATAGGAGTAGGCAAAGACTTCATGAACAAAACCGAGACCATACAGGAAATACTACAAAGAATCAACAACTTACTAAAAAGCTCATCTTATTAAAAAGCTTTTGCACAGGCTTCTGGGCCACCGTACCACCACTCCTAGCACAGAGGAAGGGGCTTCCAGGCTGCCGTTCCACCGCTCCCAGTGCAGAGGAGGTGAGCTGCACAGGCGCCAACAGCACACACACATCCCTACCCCATGCCCACCCCCACCCTGTCGAAATGAGAAGACACATAAACAAGTCTCAAAACCAGACTTCCAGATCACCTACAGCAACCCCAAAGGAAAACAAGATGGAACACTGATACTCAACCACCTGGATTCCCTGAACTGGCAACAAAAGAGGATCTGGAAAAAATGAAATCAGAAATAATTTCTCAGATAACAGCAGAGATTGCGCTCATAGTGCAAGACATGATTAATAAATCTAGAGAGGAGCTGAAGAACATGATGGAATCCCAACATAGGAAACAAATGGAATCCATAAAACAGATGCAAACAGATTTCCAGATTAAAAACTCCTTTGAAAGTCTACACAGCAGAATGAGCCAATGCGAGGACAGAATTTCAGATATAGAAGATAAGATTGCAATTAGTGACAGGGGGTGGGGGTGGGGGGACTTTTGCATAGCAAAAGAAACCATCAACAGAGTGACGAGACAACCCACAACATGGGAAAAATTTTTTTACGGGCTATTCATCAGATAAAGTACTACTATCTAGAATATATTTAAAAAATCAGACCTCCCAAATTTAAAGGCCCAATCCAAAAATGTGTATCTGAAATGAATAGAGATGAAATGAATTCAGATGAAGTAGAAACAGCAATATACGAAAAACTGTCCAACATCACTGGTCATTCGTGAAATGCAAATTAAAACAACACTGAGATTCCATCTCACTCCAGAAAGAATGGCTGCTATCAAGAAATCAGCCAATAACAAATGTTGGCGGGGCTGTGGGGAGAAAGGAACCCTTCTTCATTGTTGATGGAAGTGCAGACTGATGCAACCTCTGTGGAAATCAATATGGAGATACCTCAAAAAACTAGGATTAGAAGTCCCACTTGACCTATCCCTCAGTTGGGTATCTTTCCAAAAGAATTAAAAGAATCATACCACAGTGGTATATGCACACTCATGCTTAGAGCGGCACAGTTTTTTTTTTTTGGTACCAGGGATTGAACTCGGGTCCTTGTGCTTGGTGGAGAAACCACTGAGCTAAATCCCTGGCCCACAGTGGCACAGTTTTTAATAGCTAAAACTTGCAAACAGCCCAAATGCCCAACTGGAGACTATTGGACAAAGAAGATGTGGTTTTTCTATAAAATGGAGTACTACTCAGCCATAAAGAATAAGAAACTAGAGACATTTATAGCTAAATGGATGTACATTGAGGCCATACTCGTAAGTGAAATAAATAGGACACACATGTGTAAATACCGAATAGTTTCTCTGGCATGAAATACTAAAAGTGTAAATAAGGTTCAAATGATATAATTGATAATGTCAAATAGGAAGAAAAGGTCTAAAGGAGTTGGGGAAGTGGGAAGGATAGGGGAAAGGAAAGAAGGGAAAAGAAAAAATATGAGAAAAGGAAAAAATGGTAACAAAGTCTCTGTAAGTAGGGAAGGGTGGTCAGGGAACTGGGGAAAAAATAAGAACTAAGATACATCATGTAAAGGTACAAGATCCCAACAATGAATGCAACTGTATTTTATACCTAAAATGTACCAAAATAAACTTAATGAAAAAAAAAGAAATCAACCAATAACAAATGCTGGAGAGCTGTAGGAAACAAGGAACCCTTCTCCACTGTTGGTGGGAGTGTAGACTGGTGCAACCACTGTGGAAATCTGTGAATTTCTCAAAAAAACAAAAGCAGAGATTCCATTTGACCCAGCTATTCCCAACCTGGGTAAGTTCTCAAAAGAATTAAAAGCATCACACCACAGCAATATGCGTACACCCATGTTTATATTGGCACAGTTTGTAATAGCTAAAACTTGGTAACAGCCCAAATACCCACCAACCAATGAATGGATAAGGAAGATGTGTTTTTTTCATGCAATGGAGTACTACTCTGCCATAAA